CAGTTAATCCCCTGTCTACGTTATTCGCGATTGACGATGAAATAGCTGAGCATAACCAACGTGACAGAAGATGAGTTTATGAAGCGGAAACCATCAATTTCAATGTCGAGTTATGAAGTAGCAAGAGGGCGCGGTGCGGCGAGGCCGCCATTTTGAATTTAATAAACTCAAACATCACCGTGGGAGCCATAACTGGCTAACGCTCCGCCATTTTTGTGGCTTCATACTGATCGATGATATGAATATTACAAGCTACAATACCTATTGACCTATAGGTTTAATCCAAAAACACTTTATTCCAAAATTATACACATATGTTAAAAAAGGTTTTACAATATTAAAATAAACATCTCTTGATTAAAGCTGTAAAAATAAAAAAAAAACTAACTAAAATAATTTGACAGTTACATTAACATAAACAACTAAGAACATGCCAGCAAGGAAATTAAGGAATGTAGCAAGCCTTTTAAACTAATATTTTTTCATTCCTAGAACTGAATATAACAGTCTCTACCGTTGTTGAGGAAGGTTGTTATAAGAGGTTTCTTCATTGTACAAATATTATGTTGAGAAATAAAAGATCGTCTCTTGAAAAAATCAAATGTAACTCGAAAAGCAATGTCTGCATAGAAAAGAAACGACAAGATACGGTTGTTTTCGTATTAGCATTCGGGGAGATGAAACTAAATAAGGGAATATCCAGACGTAGTGAACAGAAATGGGAAATTCAGATGAGACCTTTGTGTCCAATTTTCGAAGTACAACAATGTACGTACTTACACGTTTTATCGTGTTTTTAAAATCTACAAATTTAGACAATAGTGTAAATGGATACCTACAAATTTAACAAATTCTTGAGTTTAAATAAGTTGAGACATATTTTGAAGGATATGACTGATTACAAATGTAAATAAGTTCTTTTGATACTTGATTACAGTTAGCCATACACTGAAAATCGAAATGGATATAAAAGTGATGCGTGCTGCATCATGATCCCCTAAAGTTAATTTAACTTAATAATTGGACAATTACTTAAAATTCTAACGATTTTCAGAAAACATGACGTATATAGGTATGATGGTTAATAATAATAACAATTTTGGAACCCCTTATAAAACAAAAGGAAGAAAGTTAAGTGTTATGGTATTGGTTAAGTGTTGGACACTTGTATTTTTTACAACAAATTGACAACAACGTAAGAATTTGAAGTCATGTCAAAGTTCGATTAATTGTAAAATAAACCTTTTTTGACTTAGGTATGGCGTAAATATTTACCAACTGTTGCAAATGCATATGAAACAGGATTGAAGAGGTATGCATTTTAAACAGATTTTCAAAGACCCTGGGATGGTTAAATATATTTGGATTTATGTTCAAGACAGATGAATTCAGTCATGTCTGAATGGTAAAAATAAATCGTTTCAAGCTATACCAGGTTTAACTAGTAAACTCACAGCCACAAAAATGGCAAACGCAAACAACTGAGCGAACCATTGAGTGAAATTTCAATTTAGGAAGTTGTTGTTAATACTATATAAACGCAGAACAAATTGCAGAAATATTTGATTACAACAATTTTTGAAATCGTTATTATATCCTGGATATTTATAGATTACCCTTAACTTTCGTTATTCTCTTTTTTACTATACAGTAATATGCTTATTAATTTTTTTTTTCATGACACAAAAACTTAACCATCTCCGGACCTTCCAAACACCCTGTTACATTGGTTTTACTCGTTTGAGCCCCCGGCATATGCATTTGCAAATGCAGTTTTGTAGTTATAAATTCGAAGCATGAAAAAATTAGTGAACACTTAAGAGTCTTTTAAAACAACTTATATGTTAGCCGATGGAAGATTATTTAAGTACAATAATCGTAGACTAAATTGATAACATACTGAGATCGCAAGACAAATTTGTATGACTATTTGTATTTCAGTTCAGATTTGATTCAATTTTGACCGAAGTATAAATATGTCAAATAAAAGTAAGTTTTGTGTGAGCTTAAAATACACACATTAATAGCAATTTTATACAGTAACAATTTTATAGATTTCAATTCCAAAAATGGTTTTTTATGGGATAATTGGTAGTATTTTACCATGGTATTTTAATTTAACGTAGAAGTAAGTTATGTATTCATCATCTTTCTGGTGTAAAAGTCACTGTTATAATTTTAATAGGCATAGTTAAAACACTCTCATTCATTTAACATTTTAAATGAAAACATGCACTCTATTTGAAATAATTTTTAATTAGAAACAAATATTTTACATAGTGGTCAGGTTTATATTATTCTTATTTCCTTTTCTACACGAGTAAGAGTTTAATTGATAGTCAGTTTTATATATACTTGTATAATAATGGTCTAAAAATCCCCAACAGAGATTCAGTATATTAATTAAAATTAAAACCATAGTTCCGATATTAAAAATAGTATTCATAACAAGAGGGTAGAACTTTCATTACATTTGTAACTCTTATTTAACAAAACCAATTCACACCAAACGATTACTTGTTATATTACAGTTACAGACCATGTTGTAAATACAATTTTTTATTATACATTTTAAGAGGTTAAATGTAACAAATGATTGAGACACTAAGTTAGTATCAATAAAGAAGAATTTGCATTATTTCCCTAACTAATATGATAAATCTGTATATTATTACAAAAAAGTATATTGGCATGAGTAAAGATGCAACATAGTCGTATCAAAAGTATTTGTATTGTTTTTAAAATTAGGCTGCAACTACCATCAGATAGAGCCGAAGCTATTGGAAGGTTAGAATGGCCTTAGTCGTTGGAATGTAAAATCAAATTAAAACATGTCAACCTTACGGTAATATTAGCTTACTTTTTCGAACATTTTCATTTTACTTCGAAGCCTTAATGTTTAAGTTTTTAATAGTTTTTTATTATTATTAACACGTGATTTGGCCTTTGAATTATCTATTTAGTTTTATCACTATAATATGTGACAAAGAAACCCCATAAGTTCAGCTGACACTAGGCTACTGAAATAATCTATTACACCAAGGTCATGTTTAGCCTTTCTATGGTCGTATAAAAGCTTTACACGATCCGTGAGTTTTTCAAATATTGTAGAACAAAACACCCCTTTTCTGTGTTTCAATTCTACAAACCATTCTTCATAATTAATTGAAATGACTGAAGGTTGCTTTCTCTCTCTAAAAATCAATAAAATGCAAGATAAAGTTTATTCTTGAAACCTGTGTTATTACTTTGATTGTGTCTTGTATTTCGATTCTTTTCACGTGGGAAACTTTTAATTTATTCCTGGTGTTAGTTTTTTTTTTATTTGATTCGTTAAGTTTTACTTTAAAACGTTGTTTTGGCTTGGAGTCCCTGAAACGTAATAGGACCTAGGTTTCGTTCAATACGATATTGTATTTATTTAGCTACTCCGGTAAACTGTCTAGAATGACAATTATATAAAATACAATCAAATTGTTTGCAAAACATTACCAAATAATGAATGAAATATTATAATTGGTGACATTATATTCTTGTAAGCTAAATGCACTTTGTTACATTTTGAGAACAAGGAATGCTACTTTATTTGCGGTATAACCAAGGTTGTACTTTAACCCCTAATAGCTTAAATTTATGAAAAAGCTCCAGCCACATGTATATATCCAGAGCCGTGAATTATATTGTTATGTTATCGGGAATTCATTCCAATGAGATAGTTGTCTTTAAGTTGTAGGATATACAGGGAATATTTTTATATTGATGCAAATTTCAATCTTTGCCGAAGAATATTATTTTTAGGTTAAATGTACCTGAAAAGTACAATTATATAAAGAGGGGGAGCAACTCCGCACGAATTTTATGTTGGAGATTAAAATTAATTGTTGACTTATCAAAGATCCTAAATGTAACATCAAATTATGGCAAATGTTGAAATGTAAGCATGTTCCTTAGCAAGTGCCACATTAGACAATTATGGCAATGCATAACCTAAAAATATACATGATTTCATTGAGTATGTCCAAGAATTTCATAATATGATGGAGTAGCGGAATTCTATACATTACATATATCATGTTCTATTTTAAATTCAGTACTGTAGAAATAGATGAAAACTGGTATCATAACACCACAATAACATTTATGTGTGAAATTATTAAAAAAAATAATAGTGAAAGTATATTAATATAAAATAGAATAAATATCTGTACAATGGGATTTAAAACTCATCACGATTCAACATCAAAAGTGTGAAATCTTACAATAATTATCTTATGTAATATTCGGAAGTTTAGAATACTCAAAACAGTTGAGATAGATCAAAAATTGAGAATAAATTAATTTTTATGTAACACACAGACAGTTGGTATTATTGACGTTACAGTTGTGGGTGTTTAGCCTATGTTATCAACATTGTTAGTAAAACCAGTGATGATTGGTTATTTTGACAGTTTACCGGTTTTCTAGGCTAAATTCGTTTAACGCTTTCACACAGATATAAACTCGCAAATAATTTGAATCAATAAATTATATTGTACTATTTGTACTATATTGATATAATGTTTGTAAACATTATACATATAAAGTATAATGTTTATAATAAAGTATATAAGTAAAGTATAAAGTATATATAAAGTAGTATAAAGTATATATATATATGTTTATAATGTTTATAATAAAGTACATCAAAATGGAATTTCCGTTGGAATAGAATAATATAAAATAAATGTCCATACATCCAATAGCTATTATTATTAATGTTATAATTCCTAACAATGTAAACCTCTGGTTCCTGTGGTTTGGAAAAATGTTTGTTTTACATTCGTTTCAGTTTAGTTGAATTTGCGTACCTAACCACAAAAAGCACCATAACCCCCAAAATGGAATAATAAAAATTAAGCATACATGAAAACACTGTTAGGGTGAATGTCCATATATAGTCTAACAGTACAGTAAGATAGTTAGGGGTTGTTAAGTCTACATAGTTTTACTACATGTGTCACCTGAGGTTATGCGTGGACGGAGGTGAAGGTCGTCATATCCTGTCTCGCTGTCTCGTAGGGGTGTAACCACGACTCTCAACTCTCTGTTCCCGGCTGGCGGCTGGCGGCAGTTACTTTCCTACAGGACCTTTGCAGCCCGGACACGACACGAGTTATTTGTTCCCGGAATTCATAGACTTCAATGATAGCTTGAAAATCCAATAAGGGGACAATCCCTGATTGACCCGCCGGCTAGCCCCGCCCCCAGAGCATCAGCCAATGGGGTTGGAGGGCGGGGCCACCCCTTGCGTGTATTGACGCGTTCACACCGACGATTAGTTTATTGTTTTAGCTGAATTTTACACCGATTTCACCGCGATCCACGGGTTTCCGGGCCCAACGCCTTTTTGCCATCCCGCTGTTCGCCGCTTCTCGCCTCATAGCAGGCGATTGTTTTCTAAATGTGTTAAGGACGCCTTCGTTATTTCCCAGATCGATTTCAGGACAGGTCGGAGTCAAGTTTTCATTTTGTCGTTTTGTTCTGATGTCCCCTACCTTGGATCGTCAAAACCTATCCTGTTAGCAATGTGTATGCTGTCCGATTTTTACGGTTTGTTATTCCGACCAAATCACACTATCCGCTTTCATACTTGGATCTGTATCTATTTTACATTCGAGGGGTTAGGGATGTTAATAGCGACATGTTTAAATATGAAGTATATAATTTTACTTTGGTTAGTAAAGAATTTTGAGTGAAATTAAAACACTTGTTATCATAATCACAAATACATACATGCACATAAATATGCACCTATATCAATATAGGATTTTCCATATCAGTTCTTATGACAGTAAATGTAATGCAACGATATTGATGCTTTAGTAATATATTTGTTCGAATGGAATGCCATTGTTTTGATATAAGGCATAATAAAGACATAATAAGGCATAAAAGGCATAATATATCGATCGCTTCGCAAATACGCGCAGTTGATCTTGTCAATGGGTATAGGTATAAAGACGACAAGTCCATACAATACATTCAGGTATGAAAATAAATACCGTATTTCAAGTATAAGAAGGAAAAACTAAATACAACTCGCAAAACCAGATCCAATTCAAAATGCAATAAATACAAGTAAACTGGGGTACCACTTTACGGATGCCCCTATTGTCACCCTGGATAAATACTATGAATTGCAACCACTCAGTGTGAGAAGACTTTACGTGCTGCAGTTCCTCTTCAAACTTGTGAATGGCCTCATCGACTATTCATCTTTGTTGAATAATATAGAATTTTCCGTCCCTAGAGGAACCAGATCCAAATCTTTATTCGCTGGAGTGTTCCAAGCAAGAAACTACTTTTACCATCGTGGAAGTCCAGGTTGCCGAGTGCGGGTACTCGAGAGAACGTATTAGAAGCATTTCCCTTTCTTCCTGTGGGAACAAATGATATGCAGTGCCTGTTTAAGTTTTGCCTTTAAAGGGTCACGCCTTATCTTTTGTTTTGAGGATGGCGTTACCTTAGGGAGGTGCAGTGAAAGCTAGGCGTTGCCTTTAAAGGGCAACACATGAAAAGTTTGTGATATTCATAATGGTGTATGGTGTTGACAAAGTGTCATTTTCATAAGTCATACATGCACACATCCACTCACAAAATGCTGGTCATACTTTATTACTATCGCAAATTTTGGTGCCTCTACACAGTCTATAATTTGTTATCATTGTTACCTATGCAGGATACGAGTGTTAAAACTTTTCTCAATGTGTACCTATAAGGTTTATATAAAAAGGTTAATGACTATTTGTAATGGGTATTTTCTCTCTATTTAAAATATTAGTTTGCGGTGTGCTTTAGCGTCAGCGTCGGTAAGGGTTTTCAACATTTTCTGAGCATTATATAACTTTTTTGTACGTTACTTTTGGGACTAGAACCACCCGAAAACATAATTCTACAGGCAACTCTATGCAGAAAAGCGAGAAACAACCCGTTCCAAAGCAATCAATAAATATACATGGTTTAACTGCATAGCTAAACTAATTACTCTGTGCAATTATTTACATAGATATTGGACGTTCTCATGCCATGCTAGTTTTGCATTAACAGTGCCTTAGCCTTAACACACTATAAAAATTCATTCTCAAAGTGACATCCATTTTCAAGTTCAAAATTGCTGAGTTTTCCTCTATTCATTAGCTTTACATCCTTACCGTAGTACTCATGGTAAGACCTGGACCCGGGACCGATTTACTTTTTCGTTTTGAGGTCCCTAGAGGCCAAAAACACCATCCGTTCAAATTCATGTATATATATATTTATATATGTGTCCGTTAGCGCGATAACTCGAGCAAAAATCATCCGATTTTGATGAAATTTGGTACAAACGTGTAATGGTAACATAATCTGCGGGAAAAATTGTTTTAAAAGTAGCATTGGAATGGAGATCACAAATTGCGATTCAAAACAGAAGAGGGTCAGTTAGTACCGATATAATGCATAAAGATAGTGGAAAACCAATTTATAACTATGCAGCTCTCCACAACCAAAATGTTTAAGACAGGTTTCCTACCTACTCATTTAAAACTCAGTGAAAATGACCATACCATTGAAATAATTAAATAAGGACCCTCCACAAAATAAATCGGAATAAAAATCCAAAATCTTACCAAACTAGTTTGAAGAAGATCTTAATCGTCACAACATTTGGCCCTGAAAGACTTTCCCATTAATTAAAATTTGAAATAACATAAAAAGCTATTCAACTATGCAGATTTTTTTATTGATCTGTTTCTAATTACATATTTAAATTATTTGTAAATTCATGTTTACGTCAATACTATTTGTTCGTTTATACAAGTTCTTTTAGCGATTTTCCCATATAGGGAATAAGCTATTACCGTAGTACTCATGGTAAGACCTGGACCCGGGACCGATTTACTTTTTCGTTTTGAGGTCCCTAGAGGCCAAAAACACCATCCGTTCAAATTCATGTATATATATATTTATAGCCTATATGTGTCCGTTAGCGCGATAACTCGAGCAAAAATCATCCGATTTTGATGAAATTTGGTACAAACGTGTAAACCTACGTTTATTCGAACGAGTTCGCGAACCAGCATGATCGGACTATGGGAACAGGGGTTTATGGGGGGTTTTATGGGGTAAAAATTGGGTTTTCCCATTTTTGACCCTAAAAACTTAAAATTTAGCAATTTCTTTTCCAACCATTTTGTAGAGCTTAAAAAACAAATAATTTAGTATATTGAAGCGTTATTATGCGCCTAATAGTTACGGAGAAAATTCCAAAAATCTGTAAATTTAAAATTCCCATGTTATTCTTATGGAGAACTTCTTATGGAGTAAACTGTTGTAGTTTGCTTGTTCATGAACATATTTTGATCAAATATAGAAAATGCATTATTTTAATACCAAACTATAAACATAAAAAAACACCTTTTTACCCTCCCTGTTGCAGCAAACCTAAGTACTCGTTAAACTAATGTTATTTAAATAGGGAATAAATGTGATATTTTTAAGGAGACATTTTAGTGTAAATCCAATCAGGCAAATGGAAATTCGCTTAGTCTGCAGGTTTGCTGTGGCGGGGGTATTTTTTACTTAAACCTTTTTGTAAAACATAGATTTTCACACGTCCACGTCTAATATATTAATTTATTCATATATTCCTTCGGCTACAAAAAAATGCATCAATTATTTTGAAGTACTTTTTACGTATTTACGCAATGAAATGTAAATTCAAAGTGGACCTGGATGTATAACGATGGAACTAATGTTTCTGTAGGACGATACATATTGCTAGATAACTTCTTGATCAGCATTGTACGTATTACTAAATTTACGGTAAGTAAATAAGAGAAACGTCTTATCAATTGGACATTCCAATCATCATCAGACCCAATAGGCTAAAATGTCTCTCATTCGCCTATTGGGTCTGATGACGATTGGAGTGACCAATTGAAATCGATCAGCATTTAACATATTTTATGTATATTTACCGTCTTGTGAGTAACATTATAAGCGTGAATATTGCTACCTAATACTTATAATAAATTATTATAAATATAAATTAAGCTAATTTTTAATATTATTAATTGTATTGTTGATTCCTTAAAAAAAACTATCAATACTAAGAACCACTTCAAGTTAAACAAACCAAATAACAAGTGCTTTCACAAGCCAACGTGCCGTTGCCAAGAACCGCACAAGTAGTGCTTTTAAATATGTAATAGATCGGTCACCTAAAACTTTTTTATACGCATAATATTAAAGAAAAATGCTAGGGATAGTTCATTTCCACTCTACAAGGAATTAAAATTATTACACTATAGCCTACAAGTTTTATTTATATATAAAGTATTGAGGGTTTTTTACATAAGAAGTGGCAATAGAAGCAACGAATTCAATAGAAGTCTGTACATTATGGAACGAGAAGTACTACACAAGGAATTTTTAAATTGCCAAAAGTAAACAAAATATTATTTAGAAGGTCGTTGTTGTATTTTAATTTAATTGCTTTATGTTGAAAGAGAAAGACGACGTAAGTCAGATGAGCACTGAACTAGTTTAGATAAAAAAATAGCTTGAAAAAATAGGACACCACAAGGCGATGTTTCCTTGTGTACCTATATTGCCTACCCATGCGCCGTGCCGTGTCTGGTAGGACGCCACAAGGCGATGTTTCCTTGTGTACCTATATTGCCTACCCATGCGCCGTGCCGTGTCTGGTAGGACGCCACAAGGCGATGTTTCATTGTGTACCTATATTGCCTACCCATGCGCTGTGCCGTGTCTGGTAGGACGCCACAAGGCGATGTTTCATTGTGTACCTATATTGCCTACCCATGCGCCGTGCCGTGTCTGGTAGGACACCACAAGGCGATGTTTCATTGTGTACCTATATTGCCTACCCATGCGCCGTGCCGTGTCTGGTAGGACGCCACAAGGCGATGTTTCCTTGTGTACCTATATTGCCTACCCATGCGCCGTGCCGTGTCTGGTAGGACGCCACAAGGCGATGTTTCATTGTGTACCTATATTGCCTACCCATGCGCTGTGCCGTGTCTGGTAGGACACCACAAGGCGATGTTTCATTGTGTACCTATATTGCCTACCCATGCGCCGTGCCGTGTC